GAAGTTAATGCCCTCAGTACAGTACTGGGGGTGGCGGGAATTTTAAGTGTGGGGCCTAGCTGGAAGCTTTTAGTCGTATGGGCTCCTTTGAAAGGGCGGGGTATGCTGGTTTCTTCCTCTTTTTCTCTTTTGTGTCCTGGCTGTGAGGTGAACAGCTTTGCTCTACTGCACACTCCCTGCCATGATCCGCCACCACAGGCATTAAGAGCAGTAAGGCCAACCCATTATAGACGGAAACCTCCAAAATGTACCCAAAATATACCTTTACTCTTTTTTCCTCCTAGTCCTGGAGATTGAACCCAGTGAGCATCAAGCTACATCTCCAGCCCTTTTAATTCTGAGACTGAGCTTTAAGTTGCATAGGATGGGTTTGTACTTGTGATCCTCCCGCCTCAGCCTCCCAACAGTGGCTGGGATCATATGTGTGCACCACTACATTGGACTTTTTTCCTGGTTCTTAAAATGTGTGCAGTTCTGACTATATATCCCAGACACTGAATATATATTCTTACAAGTTCTGGATGCTATTCTAGTCCTCTGAAGAGTACTGATACTTTTGTTTTAGTATGCAAATAAATTTGGCTATCCTCCAACTGCAACCTCTTGTCTCTTGGGCAGTAGTTTTTGTTTTTTTGAGACAGAGTCTCGCTATGCAGTTCAGGCCAGCCTCGAGCTCACTTTGTAGACAAGGCTGGTCTCGAACTCCCAACGATCCTCCTGCCTCAGCCTCCCGAGTGCTGGGATTACAGGCATGCGCCACCACGCCCGGCTTGGGCAGTAGTTCAAATCTCACTTCGGTTAACTGGTTGGTCTGCCTGTAATCTTTTGTGCATATGAGTGGTTCCCGGATTAAACAGAGGCTTCTAACAGAATTTATTTATACATAGAATTTCAAACTCTCACTTTCTGGACCTCCCCTTTCCAGGACTCCTCCCTTCTACTTTCCAGTGATTGACCTGTTGCTGACCCAATTCTATGTCTTCTATGCCAACCTGTCAGATGCCAACTTCACCCTGTTCTTTGGCTAAAACAGTAAAAATGGGAAATGATTCCATGCTTTCTTTTTGTACAAGTGTCAACACTTTTTCAGAGTATATTTGCTTCTGTTTATTCTCCCACACCTTGAGGTATTTGTTTTTAAAATTTTGTCCAGTGTATATACAGTGCTATCTCAATTCATGATTGCTTTTGTTTGCGAACTCTGCTTTGGGTGAAAACATGACCGCAGCCCTCTTTCCCACACAAACACAAACGTGGCCATCTTTTCCGAAATCGTAGAACAAATTAAGTTCATGAACCAAGGTACCACTGTAGTTATGTTCAGGAAGGCTGGATCCAGTAGGGCCTCATTGGATATTAGGAAAGGAAAATCTCTGTGACCTTGTTTTTAAAAATTACTTCAGATTTACTCTGTGAGTATACAGATTCACTTTTAATGGTAACAAAACAGGGATTATTCTACATACTTTGTTTTGTAACTCATCAGTTTTCCCACTTGAAGCACACCTAACAAAAACTCTGCTAGTACTCAATAATTATTAAAAACGAAAGTAACACAAATGGCCTAGATGTAGCTCAGTGGTACAGCACTGGCCCAGCATGTATAAGGCCCCAAGTTCTATCTTTAGCACTACAAAACAAAGACAAGAACAAAAATCAACTGGGGATAACAATAACAACATGTTAACAAACCAATCCCCAACCATTATGCCCACCTATTTCCTTGCATTCTTAGCCAATCTGGATACTAAAACTCAAAATCTATTCTTTACTGCTGTAAGTATGTGAGGCAGGGCTCTAGTCCTGTCCTTCCCCCATCCCAAATAGAGAATCTCACCAGAATTGCTGAGCAACAACCTATATCATTATCATAGTCTTCATTATGAACTAGTATATAATAGGAAACTGTAAAGGAAAACTACCATTACTTTTTTTCATTATTTCTATTATTTTATTAATATAACCCATTTCTGCTCAGTATCTTTAGGCAAAACTTAATTTTTTTGGAGAGGGGTCTTTTTGAGACCCCCTCAAAGGCTTCGCTAAACAGTTCAGATTGGCCTTGAACTTACTGTGTAGCCCAGGCTGGCCTCAAACTGGCAGCAATACTCCTGCCTCAGCCTCGGGATTACAGGTGTGCACCACCACGCCCGGCTAGGAAAAACATAATTGTAGAACTACTTTTATTTTAAAGAAGAAACACTATTATTCAGATGCACTTATTTAAAATTAGGAAGCTAGGCATGATGCTGCATGCCTATAATCCCAAGTACTTGGGAAGCTGAGGCTTGTAAACTAAGGTCAGCCAGGGCAATTTAATGAGTCCCTATCTTAAAATAAGATACTGGGATTTTCTGTGTTTAGTTTTTTTTTTTTTTTTTTTTTTTAGTTTTTTTCCGGTACCAGGAATCGAACTCACGACCAAGCACTGTGCCGCTGAGCTAAATACCCAGCCCTTAAAATAAGATAAAAAACAAAACAAAACAAAACAAAATGGGCTGGTGATGTTCCTCGGTGATAGAGTATTTGCCCAGCATACACAAGACCCTGGGTTCAATCCCTAGCACCACAACAAATAAAAACAAGACTCACTAGAGGTTGATGCATTTAACATTTAACTGAAATTACATACATTTAAAAACATTTCTGCATAACATATGATACCTCGAAAAGGTTTTCAATTTTTAAACATTCCAGCCTCTAATTATATCAGTCTTCTTTAATTAATCTAAAAATATCTACTAATCATAGAAGTTGGTTGTTGACAAATGTCCTGATTCCATAGCCCCTTTCATCTTTCATACTAAACAGCTTAGTTCGGCACTACCAATAATTAGTAATTACCCACTTCCTCACTTCCAACAATACTGTGAAGCATGGTAAAGCAATTATCATCAACTCTCTTAACAAAGGAAGACGCTGAACCAGTTGGGCTAGTTGTCTAAGGTCACACTAATACAGAAAAGTGCCAGAATCAGACAGTGCAGGTTTTGTAGCTTATTTCCTATGTACCTCTTCACTCAGAAGTACCTAAAGAATTATTACAATTCACAAAGAAATCTAGATGCTGCCAGAGCCAGAGAACTGTATCAGAATAACTGAAGACCATCTATCTTAACATTCTGATTTTACACGTTAAGAAATTAAGACCCCAAAAGTTTATGTATGTTAGTTACTGAAAGTCATACTTCTAAGCACAGTAAAGGTCAGGTGTGACATCTCATGCCTATAATCCCAGAACTCTGAGAGGCTGAGACAGGAGGACTCCCAACTTTGAGCCCAGACTGAGCAACTTCGTGACTTAATGAAACCCTGTCTCAAAAAATAAAAAGGGTCGGGGCTGTATCTCAGTGTGAAGGTTCTGGGTTCAATCCTCAGTACTGCAAAAACAAAAAACACAATAGTAAAGCAAAAACTAGAATTTAGGATTCCTTAATCCAAACTCAACATTTTTAGAACTAGCATTCTTCAATTCAAATTCAGTGACTTTCAATTAAGAGATAACTTTATCCTTAATTATTTAAATTTTGGGTTTAATCCAAAACCATGTTGTTCTGGTAATCCAAAACATAATTAGTCAGTGCTTCCAATGTACCAGGCCTGGACTTGGTGCTAAATCTGATGAAACATTTATGATGGACTACACAATACATTTTCACATTTAAGCCTCACAATACCATTATAAGGTTAAGTAGAACAGTATTTGAAAAAAGAATTAGCATCAAAGTTTGAAAACCACGGATCCCTACATAGCGTCTAACACTGAATACACTATAAGTTTAAAACTTAGATATGTTATATTGGAGGTTAGAGGAGGGCTTTAAATATCTTTTTTGTCCCTTATACTTTCTAAAACCTCAGAGCAGAGAGCATTTGAAGTAATCTGAGAGCCAAGCTGCTAGGAAAGTGATCATTTCAAATAAACAAGCTACAAGAGAAGGGCTTCTATTCCTGAGAGGCCCACCTTCTTTTCCCTCCCTTTAAAAAAGATGTTACAGTAAAGCATATTTGAAAATACAGGATAGATTTGTTGCACACATATTAAATATATTACATAGTTTATATGCAGCCCAAGACAATTCTTCCCTCAATATGGCTGAAGCAAGCCATGACTGTGACCTGAAGAATATTAAATAAGGTCCAAAACAGAAGACTGAATGAGTTTCTCTGAAGTATTCCTCCAAAATAGTACTATAAAATTGGTTACCTACTTTCAGAGATAAAATCTCTGTGGTATGTGATCAAATTAATTAAAAGTTTCATTTACTGTCTTTCCCAAAAGGAATACCTTTACCTTTGATTGCTAAGTAGATTTCATAGGGCCCCATCAAAAAAACCCAAGTGCTCAGCACTGTAATGTATTATGGAAATTTAAAAGTAAGTCTTGTAAATAAATAAGAACATACTGATATTCTTAGAAGTAGCAACCACCCTCAGTCCAACCTGTAAAAAAAGGACCTTGAAATATAACTGCAACGTTAGAGTCACTTTTCTTCTTTTTTGAGACAAGGTCTCACTATGTAGTCCAGGCTGGCCTTGAACTCACTCTACAGCCTAGGATGGTTTCAAAATCACAGTGATCCTCCTGCCTCGGCCTCCCAAATGCTGGGCTTACAGGTTTGTGCTGCCATGCCTGGATAGAACAATTTTTTTAGGGAAAGATTAACTTTAAAAGTAGTCTATTGCTTTGGGAAATATTGGTATAGGGAAAGCAAATCAACCAAGCAATCACTGAAAAAAAGAATTTCCCAGGGCTGGGGATTTAGCTCAGCGGCAAAAGCGCCTGCCTGGCATGCGCAAGGTCGTGAGTTCGGTTCCCGGTACCGGAGAAAAACCAAAAAAAAAAAAAAGAAAAAAAAAAAGAATTTCCCTTTCTCCGCAACACAGTTTAAAATCTAGTTCTATTTCATAGACATGTCAGAGACTAAGAAAAAATAGCACTCTGATAAGTAAACACAGCAGAATCAAGCATATGCAATATTTCTAATGTAAATGGTTACCTGAGAAGTCTGTCAGAAGTCTTGCTAGGACATGCTTGTTTACCAGTTCAGTCTTGCTAAGGCTGGAAATTACATCTACCCTAGTTTCTTTGAAAAGAGTCGGCCTTTTAGACATCCCAAGATCAGATCCAATCTTGACATCTGTGTGTCCTACAACATCATACAATCTCTGTGGCCAGGATTCTGGAGCAAATGTTTGCTTCAGTCTTTCTTCAGAAGGAAATTCTTCTTTCTGAGCAGCACCTGACTTCTCAGCCTGTCTTTCCCCTAATTCTTTAAGGGCTCTAATTGTGAGCTGTTCTTGTTCTAAGTCAAGAGATGCCACTGGACCCTGGGTAGGGAAAACACCCGGAAACTCGCTTCCATTTGTTTCTTTGCTTTGTTCAATGTATTTTTCTTCAATGTCTTTAATTTGAGAACCACCTGACTCATTTTCAGGCAAGGCTTCTACAGAAAGAATCTTTTTACAGTTTGTCATTTTTAATGATACTGCTTCAGAGATACCTCTTTCCTCTTTATCTACTATTCCTTTTTTACCACTTTCTGTAATGGCCGCTATCAAGTCCTCTGGGGAAGACTCATCTATATCTTTAACATGTTTTTCATGTAATGACTCCAAATGGGGAGAAACCACCACATTTAGTGAGAATTCTGCCTCATTAAAAGCATTTGGAGGTGCTGCTGCAGGAAGCTGTGGGTTGTCAGCTGTAATAAGCTTTCCAGGAGCAAATTCACTCATAGCATCTGGCTGCTCCCCATCTTCTGATATGACATCTGTACATGGTACCTGTGAACACACTGCCTCACTAACTGGACTTCTTCCAAGAGTATCAGGCTGAACTTGACACACCTCAGAGTCACTGACTGGCTCTTTAGAGTTTTTAGAAGTTTTATTTTCTATCACCTTACAACTGGGAAGCTCTTTGATTTCCCTTTCATTTGTTTTCACAACAGCATCTGGAATGGAGACAGGGCTCTTGGTCGAAATCTTGTCATTTTCAAATGATCTATCTGCTGTGATGTCCTCTATGACTGTGTCATCAGACTCACCAGAACTATCAGCCTCAGTGGCTTCTCCTAGCACTGAGCTCTGCCAGCTCGTTTCATCCTTCAGGTTGTCATCAGATAAAACCATGTTCACTGGAACCAGTCCATGTGGCAATCCAGGCAACTCTGAAAGCATATCATCTTGTTTTTGTGGACTGCCTTGCACACCCACGACACTGACTTCTCTTGTGGGATCGACACAGTCTGTTGATAGCTTTCCAGTGACAGTATTTTCTTGTGGGAGAGAATCTTTTGTCCAGTCACCTGTAGACTTAGTTATGGCAGTAGTCCCATTAATAGAGCATACAGGAATTTTCTGATGAGTGTTCATTTTAAGATTTACAACTGGAATTTCTGAAGGATAGTCATTTCTGTTAAGTCCTGTACTTTTTGTGGTATAATCAGATTTGTCAGTCTGCTGCTTCACTTGGGGAACCAAATCCCATGTCAATATTTCATTAGTAAAGTTATGCATATCACTCACACATCTCGACACCTCTTCCAGCGCTGCAGTTGTGTGTGAAAACTGCCTAGTGAGCAATGCAGAGGTTGGGTAACGCCCTACCTCTTTACTTCTCAGTGGAAACAATTTGTCATTAGTCTCCAACATGTCTGTAGGTGATTCTCTATCACTGTGCGCTGCCCAGCTAGCCAAATCACTTGTGCTCTCCTTATATGAATCACTAAATTCTCTGTCAAATGTAGCTTTGTCAATAATTACTTCAAATGGTGATTCAGGGGAATCTTTCTCTATAATACTACCAACTGAAACTTCAGATGGGGACAAGGAATATGTACCAATGCCTTCTGCTTTAGACTGCTCAGTGGGTGTTTTCTGGGCTGTTAGCAAAGTGAACCTGTTATCAGCGTCCAGTGCAGTTTTATCCCTACACGGCACTTCATTTGGGTTCTTGGACTCTTGGTCTTTATCGACTTGCTCTTCTACTTGACCATCTTCCTTTGAGGGAAAAGCAGAATGCTCTGGGAAACTGGCTGGAACAGGAGGGTGGTTGTGAGGAACTTCTGCTGCAAGAAAAACTGGAGAGTCTGCTCTGTCCTTATTGTTCTCCTGAGGCTCTTCCATCTTGATCATCTCTAGAAGAGCCAAGTGGTCTTTTCCTTCTTTGGCTATAACAGGCTGGCTGCCTAACACTTCGCTTTTTTTCCCATGGAGTGTTGTAAGGTCAGGATTATGTATTTCAGAAGATGAATGAAAGGAGGAAGTCATAATTTCTGAAGGTGGCTTATCAGAGCAAAGACAGTTCAATTCCTCTATGGTTAGAATGTGAAAGAAAAAAATTGTTTACCAGACACAATTATACACTAGCTAGTCAGGCCAAGCTGCATGCTTTTTTATTTTTAAATCACACACACAATATATACATATGCATGTATATATGCACACACGCATATATACATATACATACAAATATGTAACAAAAGTGATCAACAATTATACCAAAAGACATGCATAAAATTGCTAACAGTGAAACAGAAAAGCCACATCATGCTACAAATTACAATAACAAAAAAGTTTTCATGATGAATGCTTTTTAATCAGTCTACTTCTTTTTCTACTTCAAAAGTAAAGCAAAAGAAGTTATAGTGTTGGGAAATTTCAGAAAGTGTTTTTCTTTTTTGGGGGTAGAAAATAGAAAAAACAATTCATACAAAGTAAGTAACTTGGTATAATGAAGTATAGATAAACTTTCATCTTCAAGCTAAACAACTCAAATACACCTCTATAAACCCACTATTACAATCTCACAATCTGAGAAGAGAAAAAGTGGCCAGAATCCCTTTCGATCTTCAGGAAATAAGAGCAGACCTTTCCTAAGACTGAAAATGAGACTACAATTTTTCTATTCTGCCCATAAGAGAGATCCATCACGTGTTCAGATGGTTTCCATGTTCTAAACTAAAGGGTACCAAAAAAGGCTGGCGTGCTCCCATTTCTTTTATACCAAACTTGTCATTTTAATCAAAATTGACTGGTCAAACTAGTTTCTTTTGTTAAGACCGAGTTAACTTCAGAATTCCTTTTAAAACAGACATAATGCATTAAGCCTTAGTTATTAATATCACTGTAATCATTAACTTACTATATTATTTTCCACCATTTCAATCTAGCAAGCTTTTATTAGGGAAAAAAATTAAAACAATCATCCAAAGGGATTTTATCTCTTGAGCTGGAACAAAGTAGGTCGTAAATAAATAGTTGTGTTGTGTTTTTTTTTTTTTTTGTCTTTTTTAAGACAGGGTCTCGCTCTGCAGTTCAGGCTGGCCTTGGGCTCACTCTGTAGCCCAGGCTGGTCTCAAACTTGCAATGATCCTCCTGCCTCAGCCTCCCGAGTGCTGGGATTACAGATGTGTACCACCACACCCAGCTTAAATAAATAGTTCTAAATAAGTGAACCAAAGATTCAGCTTGGTCAGGAGAATTAGACTTGAGTAGCAACACCTTTGAGCTTTAATGAGTAACTAGAGAGTTGTGAATGAAAAGTTCTTTTTGGATTAACTAAGTAAAAGCAAACTTATGCCATACAAACTTATTTTATTAAAGATGAAAGTAAATAAGAATTAAAATCTTACTATAATAAAATTCCACTACTAAAAATTTTTTTCCAGTACCATATAAGGTCACCTTATTTTGACACATCATCAAAATTTGATGTAATAAGATCTGAGCTTCAGAATAGTAAAACTGTAACCTGAGTATTGGGAAAAATGTCTTTGTAAATGAAGAAAAAATTTTAATTTGGTCGTATTACTGGGACAGAAAATATATGAAATAAGCTTTAACTTGTATTTACTTCTAATATAGTAAACTTGGCTTGTATCTCATTAAATATTTGAGATACTCAGTGTGAGTATAAGATAACCAAAACCCAGCACTTGGGTTGAAAGGTTAAAGAATCCAAGGTTTTACATATCATAGGCTATATTTATATCAGAAGTATACCAAAATCTGGGTTATCTTTTTCATCTACCAAAAAAATATTCAATGGACTAAATCTGAATTAGAGTAAAACTATCCGGGAAACTCTCTCTTTAAAAAGATGGAAATTTCAGACGATTCAGACCTGTCATCTTACAAATTAAGGTTGGCAAAGTGAATCAGTTATAATTCAAAAAATATTTACTGAGGTTAAAGCAGTGAACAAAACAATAAAAAAAAAAAAAACTCTCTTGCCTTTAAGGAGCTTATAGTACAATAGAGGAGAGAGAAATAAGCAAAATTAATAAGCAAAATGATGATGATAAAGGGGTGGCTCCACGAAATGAAAAAAAAGGCTGACCACTGAGCATTATGGTACACACCCATAACCCCAGCCACTCAGGAGGCTGAGGAAGGAGGATCCCAAATTCAAAAGCCAGACTGGGCAACTTAACAAAATACAAACAAATGGGCTATGAATGTAGATCAGAGGTACAGCACTTGCCTAGCTAGCATGGGTGAGGACTGAGTCCAATCCCCCGCACAAAAAGAGAAAAAGAAGAAAGCAAAGTAAATTCAATGCTTATCAAAGAATGTACATACTACTAGAAAAACAAAAAAGCATGGTAAAAATGTTCTACACTTCAGCGGAACACAAACTTGTCAGTTTAACAAGCCCTGCTTCTCTTCCACCTTGAACTCCTAGCACTCAAAAACTTTTGAATTAGGTGTGTAACACAATCTAAAGTAAAACTACCAGGTTAGAAGTTCTGATCTCAGCATAACAACAGGTACTCTACCGGGAGGCATGACTGCCTGACAGACTTCACACTGCTAAAGATTTGTGAAGATGATTTAACTAGTACATATACAAAAAAATTGTAATCATGTTGCCTAGTAATGATTTCCTAACTTACTATGCGGGGTGAGTACTGTTTCCTGAGGGCAATCTTGGAGGATAAACAGAGCTGGATGCTGCATTTATTTTTTGGTGGCTGTAAGATGCAGATGGTGGCTCTCATTATTGTCAAGAAGACTTTCCCACGTGCAGCCAAAGAAGGTACCATCTTCATCTATGCTTTCATTTTAATGATCCTGTTTAGAATTTCAACAAAATGAAAAGAAATTCCTTTGGCTAGGTGAAACCCTAACAAACTTGGACAGAGCTGACTTGTGCCAAGACAATGGGAAAAACTGGGCTGGAAGTAAAAAGTTTACTAAGGCATGAAAACATTAAACAGAGAAAAGTGTAGAATCTCATAAGCCTTTTAGAACAGCTCTTATAAGTGAACTCTTCAATTAGTTGGTACAACACTTAATGGTCACTGGTGTTGTCTAAGTCAGCACATGGCAAAACAGCAGAGAACTCCAGGGAATCTGAGGGTGTTAGTTTTAAAATAACTACACACCATCACTAGGGTCGTGGCACATGCCTGTAATCCTAGCACTCACGAGGCTGAGGCAGGAGAACAGCTGGCAGTTCAAGGCCAGCCTGGGCTACACATTGAACAGTGAGTTCAATGCTAGTCTGAACTATATAGTGAGACCCTGTCTCAAAAAACCAAAAATGAGTAAGTAACTAACTACACAATATACAACTGCCAAGTAGAGTGTGGATTACTTTACATCTCAGAATATGTGTGCTAGCTTTCCTTTTTCAAAATATTCACCATTTAAAATGTGTTATGAGGCTGGGCGTGGTGGTGCACATCTGTAATCCCAGCACTCGGGAGGCTGAGGCAGGAGGATTGTTGCAAGTTCCAGGCCAGCCTGGGCTACAAAGTGAGCTCAAGACCAGTCTGAACTGCATAGTGAGACCCTGTCTCAAAAAGACAAAAAAAAAAAGTGTTATGTACATGTACCAACTTGACATGATAGTTGTAATCATTATGTACTGCAAACATGTACTAATACATTTTAAGAAAACCCATCATTTCACACTCAAATCCCCACTGGAAAACATCTCACTGTCACTCATTTATTCTTCTGATTCTATCCATTCCCCTGTCCCAAAATCTCATTATGAATATTTTCTTTTTTCTTGTTTTTTGGTACCAGGAATTGAAATAAGGACCTTGTGCTTGCCAAGCAGGTGCTGCGCCACTGAGCTATATCCCTCGCCCTATGAACATTTTCTAAATTAGTTATTTAAGACATGAGATTTAAGGCTTATATTCCATTTTTTTGGTGGTAGTGGTTGTAGTGGTACTGGGGATTGAACCCAGAGCCTTCTCAGTAAGCTGCATCATCAGCCCTTTCTTATTTTGTGACAGTGTCTCCCTAAATTGCTAAATTCCCCAGGATGGGCTTGAATTTATAATCCTCCTACCTCAGTCTCCTACAATGAGATTATAGAGGTATACCACCATGCCTGGCCTTTACTCATTTAAAAAAGTTCAGTGGTGGCACACGTCTATAATTTTAGCACTTGGGAGACTGAGGCAGGAAGATGGTTTCAAGTTCGAGACCAGCCTGGGCTACAAAATGAGCTCAAGGCCAGGCTCAACTGCAGAGCAAGACCTTGTCTCAAAAAGACCAAAAAAAAAAGTTCTAAGCATACAAAAATATGGTATTACTCTGCTAACAAAATAAGATTACACATCTAATACATTTTCAGTCATATTTTAAATTTTGATACTGTTCTCAAGCAAAAAAAATCCTATTAAAAGATGCAAACTCCTTTTATCATACTTAATAACCATGTAGCACTGAGCCAGTTGCTCAATCTCATCTAAAAAAATGGATATTAAAGCAGCTAGTTTTTTATGAGGATTAAATGAGTTAATACATAGCTAGATCATAGTAAATCCCCAATAAATATTTTTAAATACCTTATTTTTAAAAAAATCCCTCTGATCATACCTTTTTCTTAGGGGTGGATGCATACTATTAAATCATGACCACCTTCACCTGGTATATTATATAAAGTATCATGCAGAGTTTAGGATACTTTCTTTCCCATCATTCACAAATAAAGTAATTTAAAGAGTTTATCAATCTAAAAATTTTGAGTAATAAAACTTCTGAATCAGTTGGTATAAGCCAAATGTCTACTGTATCCCAAGTTGTTAGGTATTATGTGAATAAAAATATTTAATATAACAACATATCAGAAATTCTAAGCAAATGTTGAAAAATAAACAGACTTCTCTTGAACAAAATGTTTCAGCAAATGATGTTCACTACCAGTAAGGTCAAAGTATATTTTAGTTCAGCGTGCAACTAGCTACACAATTTAATAACCTGGCATAAAAACAGCCTCTGGCACAATCTTTTACAATCCCTTTCAACTTTTAGGGCAACAACTACTATTATATGGCCTGTATCTCTGACT